TCTCCCTCGTGAATGCGAGTCCGTTGGGGCTGGAGCTCGTCGCGCCGCTCGACGTCGCGGCGCTCGAAGTCGCCGCGCTGCGCGGCGTCGCGATGGCCCCAAATGTGCCAACCAAACACGCGGTGCTGACTGCACTGCTCGTCTCACTCTTTGACATGCGGCCGCTGGAACTGGACCCCGCCTTGGCGCGCAATGCCGCGGCGCCCGACCCGGTCGCGCTGCGCAGCGCCGAGACGTTGGCCCCTGACATGTTGCCCAGAAACACGGCGCTCGCAGCGCTGCTCACCCCACTCGCGCAAGCAAGGCGCGGTGCTCGTAGCGCTGCTCGTCGCACCCGCACAAACAAGGCCGCCGGTGCCCGACTCCGTCACGCTGGGCAGAGCACGATGCCAGGCGCTGCGCGCGCGGCGAACGCAGCGCTGCTCGTCACAGTCGCGGGCGCGAGCCCCGGCAAGCTGGCGGCGACCGCGAGGGCCAGGGGAAAGGCGCGAACTCGCCCAGACCCAGTCTTTGAATTGGCGCACAAATGGTTTGAATGGAGCAGACGATCCGAGGCGAGCTATATTCGGCGGTGGACAAACCTCCCTTTAGTCAACCTCCCTTTAGTGAAAACGGCCTGGGACCGAAACCGACGGACCTGGACCCGCAAAAATCGGCCGCGACGCCCTCTCGCGAACCTAAAACAGCCAATTCACTCATCGACGCGCAAAGGTAGGAGGTCCATCAACCTCCGACTCATACCGCCGATGGCCCCACGACGGTCGGAGAAGCAAGCCTGCGCTCCAGAACACGCCCAACGTCGCGGGCGACCCCGGCCACCCGGTCGCAGCAGCGCAGAAAAGGGAGGGTCGGGGCCGAGGGGGGGGAGCGGACCCCGCGCTCGCACGGGCATCGCCCTCGCTGCTCGGCGCGTCGCCGGCATCCTCCTTATCAGCCGCGGTCCTGGTCAGGAGGAGCTCGCGAGGGGCCGCGCCGATGAACGCACGCGGGGCCCCATCAGCACCACCCCTCCGGGTAGCGGGAAGAGGTGAACCGACGGAGGGTCGCCGCCCTCATCGGCGTTGGCCGAGCTTGCGAAGACGCCTCCGCAGCCGCGAGCCAGACCCCAAGGTAAGCGCGAGCCTTGTCGGCGCCACAGTCGCTAGCGCGACGGCCAGCATCGGCGGTGCGAGCTCGGACGCTGGAACGGGCTTCCGCATGCGAGCAGGCGGGCCCGGTGGCTCAGTCGTGGGCCCCGCAGTCGACGAGGCTGACGTCTCTGTTGACCGGGGCCCTGACGTCGATAGAGCATTACCTCCCACCCGCTCGGAGTCCTCGGGGAGGTTCGGCTTCTGTGGGGGGGCGAGGGATCAAACTTGACTTGGACCAGGAGGCAGCGCTGCAATTGGGCAGCTGACCACCCAGAACCCAGAACTGGCACTGATCCCCCGCGCGGCCAATGACAACGCCGCGTGCGCCTCCCTGGATGGGCGCAAGCGCAGGTTGGGGGGCTAAGCTTGTGGCGTCGGGCTGCGCGTCGGTCCTCGCGCGCCCTGAGTTTACCCCGATGGGTCCGAGCTCACTCCCGATGCCGTGCGACTGGGCCCGCACGCTACCTGGCACGCTGGGGCCACATGCGTTGCAGGGGTCCCTGTCATCGCAGGGGTCCCATCCGCCGACGGGGCACGCGTCCGCCTCGTCGCAGGGCTCCCATACGTCGTCCAGGACGAGAGCTGGCGCCTTTGTCGGCAAGGCCCACGGGTCTGTGCTCCGGCTGCATTGCTCTGCTCGGGCGGAGGCGATCCCGTTTTCGAGCTGGTGGTGATGCGCCTGTCTTCCACCACCACCACCACCACCAAATGTTGCTGGAGGGGCGAAGGAGGAGGAGAAGGAGGAGGAGGAAGAGGACGAGGACGGGGCGAAGGAGGAGGAGGAGGAGGAGGAGGAGGAGGAGGACCCCCTCCCCTCCAACTTATGGTGGTGGTGGTGGTGGAAAACAGGCCTACCAGGTGGCATGGGTGGATCAGGGTAGCCTGGCTGGTGGCCACGCTGGTCACCGTGGCTCGGACGTCCATTCCCTGTGTTTGTTTCGGCTTCGTGTGTGGTTTTTCGCCACATGATCAGGGATGCTCCTCGATGGTCCTCGCCGAAAGAAAAATGCACACGTCCGAGCGATGCCAAGACGCTGGTCACCGTGGCCTCGGGGCACGTCACCACGTCCGCGGGCCCCTGCTACTCCGCCCCGAGGCAGCGGAGCGGTGCGTCGGTCGAATCTTAAGTCGGGCGTGTCCCCCTACGGGTGGATCTTGGGCGAAACATAAAAGATACTCCAAAAACACCCCAAATAAGGAAAACTATACCAAAAATGGTCCCCAGACTATTTTTGGACTAGGTTTGAATGTCCCTCCTGTAGAGGGGCACGTCCGACTTAAGTCTAATCGGGGATCCACTGGACGCTTGGTTTGGATGGCACTAGTCGCCCGAACCTTCGTCGCAACCCGGTGGCTCTTAATGCTCGGCGAAACGTTGAAGGAGGCCACTGGTGTGTGAAAGATCCTGCGATCGGCCCTCGTGAGCGTAGGCGCGACTGGAACGTCCCAATATGGTGCATCGAGGCTGATGACAGGGGCGATGCTGTTTTACTAGTGGGTGGCGGCCAGAGTAGTGAATTTTGGAGTGTCACGGTTTGCGCCCGTATTGTGTGCGATGGCAGAATGAAGATCGAATCTGCGTAGGCGATCTTGAACAGCCAGCACAGTTTCATCAGCTCGTCCCCGTGCCGAAGCCAGATAGAGCGATGTTGCTGGTAAACGGCTTCGAGGTCGGTTGGGTGTTTTTTGGACAAGCTCGTAGTTGGCTGCAGCAGCGCGGTCTGCGCCGCCACTGCTCTGGAGAGCAGCGGTGCACGCCTCCTGGTGTACGAGAAGGTTCTCTGGACAGGAGGCTTGGTGTTTCCCTACCTGGTGGATTGGGCTCCAATGGTAGATGGAGCACACGACGAGGGCTCCCAGGAAACATCGCGGCGCGTGCGGGAATATGGAGATGACGCGAATGAGTCAAACAGGGGAAACAGGGCAATGCGGTGTGTCCAGTCTCGCCATGCGCGGAGAAAGCTGAAAGCTGCGCTGGAGGCTTCGCGTCGCGGCTGTGCACTGGGACAGAGACCCTCGAGCCGAGACTGGAGAGAAAGAGAGAGAGAGGGGGAGAGAGAGAGAGAGGGGGAGAGAGAGAGAGAGGGGGGAGAGAGAGGGAGGAATAGAGAGAGGGGGGGAAAGAAGAACGAGAGGTCATTATGTCTTTGCCCCGTCGGTCGTCACTGACTTGATCCCGATTGTGAAGCACGAGTCTGGACAGGAGGACGGCCGCCAAAGGCTCGCGGGCCGGCTTCGGACTGCGCCCCTGGCCAAACACAAAAGACTGGCTGCTGACACGTGGGCAATAGGCGCGACGGGGGCGTCCAGTACGGAGTGAACCCGGCAATCGAGGGTCTCGTGGCCGACCAGAGGTTCAGTCGCAATCGTGCGTCACCTACACCACCTGGGCAACATCTGGAATGTGCTACTAAGATGAGGACCTCCAAGGGGGGGAGTCCTCAGCCAATGAATTCTAAGTCGTGTCATATAAAGAACCTTGTTGGGAACTAAGCCTGTTGTGGCCCCAATTGCGCATACATTTGCAAGGGACGCCCGAGGAAGACCTAAGGATGGACCCAAGGAGCATCAAGCCCACTCCGAAACCAAACTTGTACCATTACGGCATGGACGATCTTCGGAATCAAGGATCAAGACGCTCAACCAGTGCTTGCACATGGTGAACTAGCAAACTGATCAGGACAATCAAGGGATGGTTCTGTCGTCCACAGGACCACGAACTAGGTCCGCCACATCGCGTGAAGCAATTGGTGTGTGTGTGTGTGTCGTGCCATTGTTTTCTTTGCAACTGCCGCCCCGTGCAAAGCAATAATTAAGGACCCCCTTCGCATCCAGTCCAACATGCGCTCACTGCATTCACCAAGTCCCTGCGTCCTTTTGTCTTCCCAGCGGAACAGCTCCGGAATCAAAATACACGGTGGGGAATTCCGTGACAGCTATCCCCACCGGGAGCTCGCCAGGTCCCCCCGCTTCACCCCCCACGCCCCCATGCTGACTTCAAGAGGGCATCTAAAAAAGCCAAAATGGCTGCAGATGGCCTGAAAAACGAATAAAAGTCGGGCAAGTTGACCATCTACGGCCGCCACGACGGTCCAAGATAGCCTCCAGGATGGCCGCGAAGGCCCCAAGACGATGCAAGAGGCCCCCAAGACTCCCCAAGAGGCCTTTAAGAGGATATCTCTTCTGATTTCAACAGACTGTAGCGATCACGAATTTCGGGTTTTCGAAGACCCAAGGCGGTCCAAGATAGCCTCCAGGATGGCCGCGACGGTCCCAAGACGATGCAAGAGGCCCCCAAGACTCCCCAAGAGGCCTTTAAGAGGATATCTCTTCTGCTTTCAACAGATTGTAGCGATCACGTTTCGGGTTTTCGAAGACCCAAGACGGCCGAAGATATCCTCCAAGATGGTCGCAGGACGGCCCAGGGGGACCCAAGAGTTCTCCAAGACGGCTCCAAGATAGCCCAAAAGGCCTCCCAGACTGCCCCAATAGGGTCCCAACGCGACACAAGAGACCTCCGATACGACGCTCAAGCACCCCAAGAGGTCTCCAGGACGGCCCAGAGAGACCTCACAGACGGCCTCCGAAGGCGCCAGACAGGCCAAGAGCGCCCCAGGACGACCCAAGACGCCCCCAAGAGGCCCCGAGAGACCCCCAAGAGGCCCCCAAGAAGAGCCTCATGGCGCCCCCCCCACAGGCGCCCGCCCCAGCGCCGTGGCGGAATCGCGCGGCAGCGCAACTGCATATCAGAATATGTCGAAGCTCTTGACCTCCTCTCCATTGCCACTCTGACATTCATCCTGACCCTGGCCCGACTGGAGGACCCTTTGGCAAGGCAGCACATGCAAGATCTCGCTCCGAGGCCCCCGCGTACTGCCGTCCACGGGGCGGGCAGCGGCGTGGATGAGATGGCGTCAACGAGGAAGTGGAGCAGCTCCTCTGGCAGGTAAGTGACCATTTCGCAGCACCATGTAGGTGGCACTTCAAATGCGATATGCATGGTGCCAGCATGTAGCTGGCATATCCCGACTCAGAGCCGCCGCTGGTTTGAAAGAGCCGCTGCGAGCTCAGCCAAAGAGCCAAGATATGCCAGGACATCTAGGAGGACGGCGGGAACCGATGCAGACTGCTGGGGGTATGATGCAGCGCTGTCCATCCCGAGCTGCGCCCGTTGTCGGAACGTGAGATGTAAGCAGGGGTGGAAGCAGGGAGGGAGAAGGGACGACGGGAGAAAGGGGAAAAGGAGGAGGCAGGGCAGAAGGCATACCTCTTCCATGCCCCGCACCCTCCACACACACCCTGCCCCCTCTGGGCCTACCCGAGCTCTCGGTCGGCGGGTGTGGCAGTCGCCCCAGGGCTTCGGCTGGGGGCGAAGAGGGGGCGAGTGCGGGCTTGGGCGCGCACTACGCAGAGGGTGAGCGGAGCCTCGCGCTCCGTCAGCACAGCGTGAAAGCCCGCCCTCTCGCGCGGGCGCTGCTGTCGGGCTCGGAGAGTTCCTAGGTCAGGCTTCGCAGGATGCTTGACCAGTTTCGTCAACTGCGAGCTTGCGCGCCCCCCCATGGAGGCAAAGCCCAGACTCACTGGTCCAGAAGTTTCACCCGAGGCAAACCGGCATCGGGCATGAGGCTCTTCGGAGGAGGCAGGGGGAGCGAGGAGAGAGGGAGGTGGGAGCAGTGACGAAGGAAGAGGAAAGTGCAGGGGAGGAAGGGAGGGAGGGAGGGAGCAGGAGAAAGAGGGGGGAAGAAGAAGAAGAAGAAGACGAAGAAGACGAAGAAGAGGCGTTCTATCACGGCGCCCTACTACGAGTGGAACGCATCACAGCGGTCCCTGTGGACGCTGCTCGCGTCAATCTACAAAGACGAGAGAGAGAGAGAGAAACAAAAAAAAAAGGAAAGAAAAGGATTTGGAAACGTCGATACAAGAAAAATCGAATGCCTACGCAGTCTTGTGATTAGCAGTATCCTTCTCCATTCCTCCCTCCCCGCCCTATCTCCAGACGACCGCTCATTGCATCCACCCTCGCATCAAGAAGTCTGGGCATCGAAACTATCTCCATCAGATCGGCTACCAGCTAATGGGAGTCCAGTCGTTCATCGTTGAAGACTCTCAACACCATCCCTGGCAGTTTGCCCTCTATGCGGAGGAACCACTGCCCACTGCTGTATTAACCAATCGTCTGGTCCTGGTGGTACTAGACTGCCCCTTTCTGCCCTCCCTTCTCCGCAAAGTGCAACAACAAAGATCATTACGTATAAAACGAAACCTAAGCAATCGACACCAAGCCTTCCCTGGAGGGTCCTCGTCGTCGCTGCAGTGGGTCACACCGGCCGCAGCTAGGTAGCACGCCAACGCTTCCGGGTAGGTCTCCCGGGCTGGCGGTGAGATTCAAGCAGCGGTTATAAATGCGATGCTGTGCCTGGAGCGCATGATTGCACAAGGAGGCGCATCGTCTGCTCGAATAGTGACGTGATGTGAGGTGAGATAAGAAAAATGAGGGAAAGGCAAGGAATGCAAGTAAAGGTTTAGCAGCGGCAGGGGCCACGGTAAATGTAAGCGCGGAGCGCCCTGGGGAGAGCTAGGCAAGGCAAGGCAAGGCAAGGTGATGCGAGGCATTGAAGATGATGGCGGATGTGAATGGCAAGAGCTACGAAAATTGAGTGCTACCTGTGTGCCTGCGCCTGTGTGTGAGCTCTAGGAGCAAGTATGCGCAGACTGGAGCCCATCTGGCGTGTGAGTCCAGAAAACCAGGTGCACTGGTGTACCAAGATGCCTTTCTGGTAATGCGGGCCTTTTCTCTTCAGCGCCCAAGGATTACACTGGGAGAGAGCAGCCTGCAAATGACGGCCAGGAATGTGACCTTTCTCTCCTTACCGAGTATGGGCCTGAACTGAAGGACCCTGGTGAAGAACAGAAAGACAAGGCTATGTGATCTGGAAAGGCTAGGTGTCGCCGCGAGCCCAGAACTGGCGCCACCGAGCCGTAAAAAAAAAAAAAAAAAAAAAAAAAAAAAAACAGGCCCGCCGACTGCCGACGCTGGTCGAGGCGGGACCACACACCGACGCAAGAAGGAGCTCCAGGATGGCTGGCTGCGCCGCCACCAGCCCCAACTATAGCCCCACTGGTCGCAAGATCCCCCCGAAGCTCCCTGCAATTGACTACCTACCAAACCACCCCAACCCAACCCGAAGGCCCGAATTTCGGGTTGGGGGGGGGTAAGGGTTCCATGCGTGTTTTTTCGATGTTCCGCGACCCCCCCCCCCAGTGGAAATGGAGGGCAAATCTGAGCCTTCGGGTTGGGTTGGGGTGGTTTGGTGGGTGGTTAGCAATATCCCCGACTGGCCCCAACTATCCCTGCTGGTCCCTCAATGAAGGTCTGGCAGGGCCAACTGCCGCCGCCAATCCAGCCGATCGGCATACTAGCCCCGCTAGCCCTGGCCGACTACAACGGCGATTGGATCCACCTCTGGCTCAGACTGGCCCCCGCTGGCCCCAGGATCCCGAAGTTCTGGGAATACTTTCGGACGCCCCTGGCCCCTTGATGCGAAGGCCAGCATACGAACAGCAGGTGATACACGCCTGACCTGGCGAGACCGGCCAACACAGACATTGTGGCATCCCCCACCGGAATCCCTCCGAGACCTCCCGAACACGCTCCCACCCCGCGAGCTGGGTGTGAAGGTTCTTCGGCATCCCGCGTGCCAGCGCGGGCCATGTTCCCCTGTGCGCAGCTGGATCCTCATCCTCGCCCCCCTTTTCCTATTCCTCCTCCTCCTCCTTCTTCATGGATGCGGGCTCCGGTACCACTTGGACGCAGCCGTCGCCTCCTCTTCCTCCTGCTCCTCCGCCTCTTCCTCCTCAACCTCCAGTTTGAATTCTCTCGAGCCCCTCCTCCATATTCCCATCCTCCTCCTCAAACCCTCCTCCTCAAACCCTCCTCCTCCTCCTCACTCCTCATCCTCATCCTCATCCTCATCCTCCTCCTCCTCCTCCTCCTCCGCCGCCTCCTCCTCCTCCTCCTCCTCCTCATCATCATCATCATCAGCATAAACACCATCATCATCATCAGCAGCAGCACCATCATCATACTCATTATCATCAGCAGCATCAGCAGAATCATCATCGTCATCAGCATCAACATGATCATAATCACCATCATCATCGTTAACAGCATCAGCATCATCATCTTCATCATCATCACCACCACCAGCAGCATCATCATCATCCCCAGCATCCGCATCATCATTATCAGCATCATCAGCATCATCAGCAGCAGCATTATCATGATCACCCGCATCGTCGCTATCATCATCAGCATCATCATCGTTATCGACAACAACAAACCTCCTCTATCCCCCCCTCCTCCTCCCTCTTTCCCTCCTCCTTCTCCTCCTCCTCCTCCTCCTCATCATCATCATCATCATCATCATCATCATCATCATCATCATCATCAGCATCATCAATCGGCTCATCCCTCATCCCGTCATCCTCCTCCTTAGCGCCCTCGACCCCCTCCTCCCCCTCCCGAGGCCTCGGAAGGCCCCCTGAGGTCTCTTGTGAGGTCGAAGGCTTTCAGAGACACCCAGAGATCCCAAAACAAAATCATGAACAGCGACGTACCGAACCCATATGCAATAAGTGGCATCGCCAACGGGAACAGTCGACAAGGGACGCAGTCTATTCTGAAGGCTACGAGCATCACCGAGAAGGCCACGGTTGGCAGCCCCGCGAGGGAGCGCGTGGTCTCGTCCGGATCCGCGCGGGATCCCACTCCCCCAAGATAGAGAGAGAGAGAGACAAGCAAGAGAAGAGGCAATAGGCGGGAGGCCGGAGGCGAAAGGGACGCTGCGGGGGAGAGGTCGGGAGAAGAGGGGAGGCGGGGGGAGGGAGGCGCGCGAGCAGTCAGTTCCCTGCCAAGGACGAGTACCCAACAAATGAGTGTTGGTGAAAAGCGAATAGAAGACATCTGTCCTCGAGCCTCGCCACCCTCCACCCGCCCCCCCCAAAAAACAAAGAGGCGGACACCGCTGTCGTCAACGTTTGCTGATGTTGTGCCTCCCATCGCCGCTGGATGTCCTCGGGTCGGGCTGGGAGGGACGCCGCGATGAGAGACTGGAGGACGCAGGAGAGGTGGCAGGAGAGGACGAGAGGGGAGGGAGGATAGAAGGATAGGGGATAGCATGGAGAGCAATGAGAGGAGGAGAGGATGGGAGAGGAGGATGAAAGAAGGAGCGGAAGAGGGCGCTGCAAGCAGGAGGAAGGAGGAAGAAAAGGATTGAATATCAAGATTATTGAACGGCTTCTGTTGTTTTCTAGCCTCCAAAAGTCTGTCGAAAACTACTGAGACCTCTGGGAACCTTCAGGAACCTCCGAAAGTTTCCAAAGACTTGAAGGTCTGAAGCCAGCTTGCATCCATCACCATCATTTACCCCCACAAGAAACGCCAAGATCCACTTCCAGCGCGGAGCTGAATCCCCTACAAGAAACTCAAAGGTATCTGGATGCTACCGTCGACCACGAAAACGATCTCAAGGAGGAGCAGTCCCACCCTCTTGGCAGCAAGACCTCCCGTGCTGTTGCAGTGAACGCAGAGGAGGAGGGACAGGAAGAGAAACTGACGAAGGCTTAAAACCGCCAGGCCTCTGAAACGAACCGGTGCCGTCTCGAGGTGGGGCGCAATCTCGCCTCGAAGTGTTGAGCGGCCGTTTACTGGGTTCCCCGACAACACGCCGAGTGCGTGAGGACCTGGATGAATGACCGAAATGGCCATCGCGCAAATACATAGTGGGGGGAAGTCAGAAGCACCAGTTGCACGGTCGAAGTCGAGAGTAATATTCTTAGTCATGTCGAAAGGCTTTACGTTGATCTTGGCGGCACGGTCGGTCGGGGCGTAACTGGTGCAGATCGCGTCGCCAATCGTGCGAAGCGTGGACTGCAGCATCCCCCGCGGGAAGCCAAGCACAATGAGCTTGCAGGTGCTATCGCGGGCGGGGTCAGCTCGGGAAAGTGCGGCAGCGCGTGAGCATGTCGAAGACAGTGGTACTGAAAGGGACTGAAGGCGCTCCTCGATGGCTTTGATTTGGGCCTGGACGATGTTGCGAGGGCCGACGTAACCCTCGGCGTCCATGGCGAATTGAGGGGCGGCCGTTCCCCCTGCAAGACGGTTCTCAAACACGTTCATTCATGTCCAAGCGGCTGTAGACGTGCCTTCTATGGAGTGGAATGTCTCCACAGTCTGCTGAGCGAGGTTCAGGATCTGGACGTTCAGGCCGCTGCAGCGCTGCACGTTGGCCTGGACTGAGTTCTTGATGAGCGTGAAGCCGTGGCTGGGGAAGGCAGGCTGTCGCACAAAACTAAAGAAGAACTGGATCAGCTGATCAAGCCTCCCATCGGAGAACATCGGCTTGGAGCACGTTGCCTCCTAGCGACTCCTGCTAGCCAAAGCACTGCGGCTCGAGCGGAAGCTATCCTTCGCATGTCGGCTGTCCAAACTCGTTTCAGGGCGGCGCTCACGGAACGAAGACATGTCCGAGAGAAGGGGAGTACAGCACGGGCTTAGGAAAGAGTTATGGCCACGGTGGTTATGGCCAAAAGGGTTGGTGGCGACGGGCGGGTCGTTGGGGACCCTAAAAATGCCACACGGAGAAATGGACGCTTGGGCCTTCCCCTCGGCTGCGTCCAAGTTCGAAGCACCAGGGACGTGTTTAGAACGTGAGCCAAATGGTTTCGGATGCATCAATCACCACCATTTTGGGGACCGATGTCCCAAGATCTCACGAGGCGGTGGATATGGATGCCCTTGGACCCCCCTGGGGCCCGAGAATGTCCATATCCACCATGTCCTGATATCATGGGAAGCATGTTCCCATTGCGGTGGTCATGGATCAACTCTGCCTATGATACCACTCATGAGTTTTTCGAACACAATCGTTGGGCTAGGAACCAGGTTTTCGGAGGCCATCGAACGGCATGGCGACCACTGCTATGCGGTTTTTGGCAGGCCGCTCTTGCGATCCGCCAGCACGCCGCCCAGTAGAAGTCAAACACACTCTAACCGAAGGGAAAGCCTTGGGCCCGCTGGTTGTCAAAGGACTTGCGAGGCATGGCCCAGATTCTCCGTCACATCCAGAGGCCTGCGAGCTCTGCGAAAGGAACATGCCTCTTCATGCGCTCCGTACTGCACCACCAGGAAACTAGGTGGCGACACCCGAACCCTACCCCTACCAGCCATCGATTCTCCTGGATCGACGCGAGGCGGGGGTAGGGCTCGGATTCCGCCACGCGCACGGCGAATTCCGAGCCCTGGCCCCGCCGCCCATGGAGTTGCCCGATATCGTTGATCGGCCGAGGCAGGGTTCGGAGCTCACCGTCGGCGTCCGCAACCTGCTGGAGTCCCGCCATCTTCTGGCGGTGGACGTACGGCCTGGAACCTTTGCTCGGCGTTCGGGGATCTTCTGACCCGGGTCAATCCAGACTGGGGTCAGCAGGAAACCAAAAACTGCAATGCAGGAAAAAAAACTGCAGCGCAGGTCTTCGCAAACCCGGGTCAGCCAATATGTGCGGCCGTCTCGCGGCCACGAGCGGCTCGCTAACCCGGGTCA